GGCCTTTTGACAAGAAGGAAATGTTGCTATACCGTCTTCATTGAAGTTTACCTGGCTCACGCTTAAGGAAACTTAGTGCTGTCATTACCCGGAAGGTAGGTAGGTGGGCCATTCTCTTCAATTGGGGTAGTGGTGGCTGGTTGAAAGTCCACAGTGCTTTGCTATGGCGAGACCACTGCAGCCATGTGCGAACCATTCACCCCATGCGCGGACGACAGGTCCTCAGGGCAGAACTTCATTCCCTTCCTTTGCTAGGCGTGCACACACCGACCATGACGAGATTGAGTGCCATCACTCGCACGCCTACGTAGACTCTCGGCTGGCAATAGCCATCGCATGACAGAATGCCGTTCCTTCTTTGTTGCGATTTGCTTAAGGTCTTCGTTAGAACCATTTCCGCCCCCGAAAGATAGATCTTACTGGATTTTGCTGCCGGGAAAGCGGGTTTGGCTAAAGTAGGGGGACGGTATTTGCAGTGAAAGTCGTCGAATGTTTCCCTTCCACTCTCACGGGCACCAGCAGGACGGGTAAAGGGCGTTTTCTAAGTCAGGCATCACAGTTTAACGCAGTGTCCTCAAAGTTCCCCCTGACTGGGTCCTGCCACATTTTGTGTGCATTCATGTTTTTTTTTTCTATTTTTAATTTTGATTTTGTTTGGGAATTCGCAGGTTTCAAGTCATCTATCAATGCGGTGTGTTCGCTTCGCGTTCTTCCCTGAAACTCTGCCATGTGAAGGAGATTTGGGCTCTTGCCTTGATGCAGGTAAAGCATCACACGGCGTGCGCGTCAGTCCTCGATACCGTTGGCACCTGAACGAGTGATATGTAAAACCACAACACTAGTTATTTATTGGTCTTTACCAGACAAGCAGTTTTTCCACTCATTTTCATGTAAAATCAGCGGAGTTAGGGAGTACTTTCCTCTATTACTACCTTTAGGGTCTCATGTTCGTCCTCTTCCTCATACAAGCTATCTTGCCCTTTACAAACAACATTGGGGCCTTCTGTGGTGTCGTCTTCTTTGAGGGCAGCCTCGGTGGTCTCGCCTATGTCAACACCTTTGACCTCGTTCTCAAGACAGTACGTCCGACTTCCACTCTGTATTCCTCTTTACGACAAATGAAGCACCTCGTCCCACGGGGTGCGGCAACTTCAATGCCTGCGCATTCACAGAAGAGATAATTTGGGTGTCAATTACAAAATTTTGCAGTGCCTAAAAGGTAGTGGTGTTGAATGATTGATGACTGTTTCGCCACACCGACAAACACATGCACACGCCCACAGTAATCAGCGCATGGGTGAACGCTGATGAGTGTGGCTTTGGCGAATCAGTTCTCGCTTCTCAATGCCAATGCTAGCGATGTAGCGAGCGAATGACGGCCTCTTCGCCACTCTCCCACTTTGTTAGTGAGGTAGGAGCTGCGAAACGCCGCCTTGGCATAAGGTTCAGGAGTGAATAGGAGTGTTTTGCTTTATCTTGCCACACTTGTTGCATGAGTGGGAAAGGAATGTTGTCCACTGTTAACTGTTGGGCGAATGCAGGTTCCTGCTGAGCCTCAGGTGAATGCAGCTTGGCATTGGGTGGCGTGCAACTCCCAATTGATTGTATCGTCGCAGCTCTACAAAGTAGGGACTGCCAGAAAGAGGAGACTCTCGACGTCGCCTCACCTCCATCGTGTTCCGTGAGGTGTCTCATTCACTGTGATACCACTTGTTTGAG